GTCAAAATTGAAATTGACCCTTACCATGAGTTTTAGAACAATCCTCGTGTTTATCTGTGCGCCATGAAAATATGAAGAATTGCCAGGACAGCACAATTAAAATGGGTTGCCGTTCATTTCTCTTTCCCGTTACCCTTTTTTGTTTTTGCTTTGCATGCTGTTGTAAGACTGTCCCTTGTGGCTGCTTATGGACTGAAGTGGACAGTGGGAATGGCTATCTGGAGAATTAGCTTTGACGGCACAGTTCATCAACTCCATTATCCATCTCTGGATGTTCATCAGTTTCCATCTGAGAAGAGCAATATGTTCCTGCTTTTAAAAATTCTGATCTCGTGACTGGAAATAAGATGTCGGTGCTCTCATGAAGTGTTAAATCTGTCTGAGTGTCCCTGTATTGGCTTGTAACATCAATTACTCAAAGCAAGTTAGCAGACCAAAGTAGTGGGGAAAAAATCAATATCTGAATGAACTCTTTGGCGCCATTGCAAGCTAGTAGTAACCTAGATGGTTGAGAGCTTGAATGTTGACCAGAGTATGTATGTATGTTGGTATGTATGTATGTGACAATGTATGTATAAAATTAAACTTCAAAAAAGAAAGCATAAAAGGTAAAAGTAGAGGTAAAGGTTCCTCTTGCACATATGTGCTAGTGGTTCCGGACTCTAGGGGGCGGTGCTCATCTCCGTTTCAAAGCCAAAGAGCCAGCATTGTCCAAAGACGTCTCCATGGTCATGTCGCCAGAATGACTAAATGCTGAAGGTGCATGGAATGCTGTTACCTTCTCTCCAAAGTGGTCCCTATTTTTCTACTTGCATTTTTACATGGTTTTGAACTGCTAGGTTGGCAGAAGCTGGGACAAGTAACAGGAGCTCACTCCATTATACAGTGCTAGGGATTCAAACCGCCAAACTGCTGACCTTTCTGATTGACCGGCTCAGCATCTTAGCCACTGAGCCACCACATCCCCTAAAAAAAATATAACCGAATACAAATTAAGGAAGAAAAAAAGAGAAAGAAAAGGAAAGCAAAAAGTGGAAGAAAAGGAAAAGGTTAAAGAAAAATAGAAAAGGAAGAAACAACGTATCAAAGACAGAAATATACAGAAAAAACCCAAGGAAAGTCTTCCAAAGGAACTTTAAACTTCAAAGAATACAGGTAATCTTCGACTTATGACCACAATTGAGGCCAACATTTCTGTTGCTAAGTGAGACAATTGTTAAGTGACTTTTATCCCATTTTACGACCTTCCTTCACTTAACAATTGTTAAGTGGATCACTGCAGTTGTTAAGTTAGTAACATGGTTGTTAAATGAATTTGGCTTCCCCATTGCTTTGCTTGTCAGAAGATCACAAAAGGTGATTCCATGACCCTGTGACTCTGCAACTGTCATAAACATGAGTCAGGTGGCAAGCATCTGAATTTTGATCACATGACTAAGGTGTGAAAAAGTCGTAAGTCGCTTTTTTTTCAGTGCTGTTGTAACTTTGAATGGTCACTAAATGAATAGTTGTAAATCAAGGATGTAGTAGAAGTTCTAATCAAACTATGCCAGCATATCTGAAGACTGATACAGTGGCCAACAGATTGAAACACCAATTGCAAAAAAAGAGACTTAAATAGATGTGCAAATTTGTATGATACCCTTAATTCCACATGCCAGCAAAATACACGTTGGAGAACCCTACATAGAAACTGAGTATGCAAAATGCTAAGAAACCTGAGACATCATCACTAAGGCATGTTTAATAATTATGCAAGCCAAATAACACCAAACAAAAGTCAGTATGTGTTTCATTGATTATAGGAGGAGTTTGTGACAATGACAAGTTGTAGAATGTCCTTGGAGAAATGGAAATACAAAAACATCTCATTGTCCTTATGCAAAATCTATACACAGGTAAGGAAACCACAGGGTAGAACATGGCAATTCAGACTGGCTCCAGAGGGGCAAAGGGCTGAGACAAGGCTGTGAACAGCCAATAAATAAGTAGTTAATAAATAAAATTGCCAGCTCTGTGTTAAAGGTAAAGGTTCCCCTGCACATGCATGCTAATTGTTTCCGGCTCATCTCTGTTTCAAAGCTGAAGAACCAGCTCTGTCCAAAGACGTCTCCATGGTCATGTGGCCAACATGACTAAATGCCGAAGGCGCATGGAACGCTGTTACCTTCCCACCAAAGATGGTTCCTTTTTTTCTACTTGCATTTTTACATGCTTTCGAACTGCTAGATTGGTAGAAGCTGGGACAAGTAACGGGAGCTCACTCCATTACGCGGTGCTAGAGATTTGAACCATCGAACTGATGACCTTTCTGATCGACAAGCTCAGTGCCTTAGCCACTGAGCCACTGCATCCTGTGTAACGCACCGCTCTGTTACTTTACTAGATATACATGATTTGTGTTTTTCTACTAATAATCATCATTTTAAAGCGATCCTTGGAATATCAAATGTTTTCCTTGGCATAACAGTACTTCTTTTGCTCTAGAAATTCAATGAAACGGAAATGGCTTTGCTTATCATCTAATTCTGGTACAGGATAAATCAGGGATGCCTCCCATAGATCAAATGAACCTTTCTGTGGGTTTCTAAATATGTTGTGCTACAACCCCATCATTCTTCAACAATGTGACAAAATGGGTGTGAAATTTAGATGAGGAAGTTAGATCATCTGATCTGGCGGGCCTTAAGTAGCTGGCCTTTTCTGCTATGGAGCTCATAGCAGAATCTTCTCTGCTCACAGAGACGAGGACAGCGTCATCACTTCTGAAGATCCCCCAAGACCTGGTTATGCTAGCAGACCTGAAGACCCCAGGGGATGAGTGAATTTGTGAGGGGACTATTACTGATGAGCCATGGTGGCGCAATGGTTAGAGTGCAGTACTGCAGGCTACTTCTGCTGCCTGCAATTTGGCAGCTCAAATCTCACCAGGCTCAGGGTTGACTCAGCCTTCCATCCTTCCGAGGTGGATAAAATGAGGAGCCATTTTTTGGGGGGTGGGGGGGGTCAATAGGCTGACTCTGTAAACCACTTAAAGAAGGCTGTGAAGCAGTATATGCCTAAGTGCTATTGCTATTATTATTAACTTATTCTTTAGTTCTGTTTTTATAGTTTTTAAATAATTGTTTTAAGTAATAATTGCTTTGTATTTATTGTTGAATGCCAGCCAGAATCACTATATGCTTTCTATAAGATGGGTGCCTGTATAAATTTGATTAATAAATAAATAAATGAAAGGTGGTTCAAGGCAGCAGAACAGCACCAGGTTGCTGTAAAGCAAGCCATATTGCATGGGAAATGCAACTTTGTGTATTTCCCCGAAAAGTATAGCACCGTTATGCCAGTCATTCTTCATTGCTTGATTAATTTAATTTAATTAATTAATTAATTAACTAATTGAATAGAATCATAGAGCTTGAAGGGGCCTCAGAGATCTTCTAATCCACCCTCCTGCCCTAAGCAGAACTTATATGCGTGGCAAAAAGAACTTTTAATTTTTTAAGAACTGTAATTGTGAAATGGAAACCAGAATTCTCAAATTAACTTGCATTGCATCACTTACTGTATGTAACTCTGCTAGGGCAATCAACCCAAGACCTAGAAGTCACTCCTCCTCTGTATATGTTAGACAGGGTTCTTAAAATGCTGTATTTGTATTGTTTGCAAGTTTTCCATGAATCTCTTCTAAGATTTAGAGCCACAGGTATCTGCTCCAGCCTGCTTAGGGAATAAACTTTGGACTTTGGTGCCTAGAATGACATGCTTGCTTGGCGTCTTGAAAATAATGACATATTAATTTCCCCTGGTGAGAGACACACCAATCTATTTGCTTTGGAAAGTTTTGGGCAACTACTTAATTCTCCCTGAGCATGTTTTCCTCCTGCAAAGAAATCTGGGAAAATACTATGTGGGTATTTCTACCTTAAAATGTTTCAAATTTGAAATGTATTGTATATCTTCATTCCAGATATATGAATTCAAACCCATTATTTCTGCAGCAAGATATTTTCCACATTTATGTAACTGTGTCACCTGCATTGCAATCCTCTTCATCCTAGGAGTACTTGAAAAATATATATCCAAGATTAATTTGTGTATTAAAAACTATTGAAGTTGCAAGTCAGAAATAATGGATGCACCAAACCCCACCAGTCTGTTAAATATTGTGAAATAGCCATACAAGAAGTCAAATGATGAGTATTTATTAGATGGATAACCAGTCCTCATGGAAAAGTTCATCATTATTAAATGGAGTTTGTTAAAAATTGGTAATTTCTCATTTCTTTTTCATTTGGGTTGTCACCAAGCATTTTAACAAGTGAAAGTTAATTGGACAAGTTACAATTCTCGTAGAAAATGTCAAGCTGCTTATCAAACTATAGAAAGCTTAGGATGTAGGACATCAAACGACATTTTTATGCGTCCTTTCCAGCATTACTCTTTACTCACATATAAGTTGCCCTTATATGTATTTTCTGGTGTAAAATATGAGGAAGAATGATTGAACTATTTTTCCACAAGCAGGGAATTTTTGTGGTGGGGAATTAGTTCCTATCTACAATCAATTTGAATGCTACTTTTGAGATCACCTGGCAAAATTTTGCAAAAATAACATTTGAAAATCTGAATTGCATAGGGGATGCGAATAAATCCTAACAAATCACAGGATATCTATACAATACTATATGAATAATAGTGACGTCTCCATTTAGTAAAAGCAGCAGTATTTCACTCAGCATACAGTTGTCCAAACCAAACCTTGTATACATCCCCCAAATAATTGTTATTGAAGCATATAAGATAGGACAGGGGATAATGGAAGCCTCAATTGTCCTATCCTATTATTATTATTTTTAAAAAACCCTCTCAATTTAAACCAAGTCCATTCAGCCTTTTTCCAGACATTGTCCTGGTTTAATGTTCAAAGGTCAGCATTCCAAGATTTTTTTTTTTACTTGTAAAGCTTCGAAGGAGAGTAACTATAGTACAAAGCAAGGCACTAGAATCAAAGTTTTTTACTTGGGAAACTTGATATAAAAAAGCAGCCAGAAGACATCATGTTTTATCCATACATCACTCAATAACCATGCCATTAGGAAATCACAGCTCCAGAATGAATATTCAATGTTGGCATCCCCTGTCTGAGGGACAGTTCCAACATGGCAAACCTCAAGAGACTCTTCCATCACATAGGCCAAAATGTATGATGGCAGATTTTCCAGCACAGCTCAGTCCAGGATGGGAATCACCCACAGATAAATATGTTGGTGATGCTTCTATTTAAGTACACCACCTTCACCTTAAGCCCAGGAGGCACTAGCAGAATGCTTCCCTATCATTTCAATGGGAAACATTCTCTTTCATTTATACAAGCAATTACTTAATATGGAAAAAAAGCAAATTAAAACAATTCCTTGCCACATTTAAACACTCATTATGTATAAATTGGGGGAGGGAGGAAGCAGCACTTTCTTATGAACTATTGTTTGCTCTTTTGCTTTGCTAATCCGTTCTTCTAAATCAATAAGGTACTAAGATGTGACATAATTTGAGTAATGGCTTTATATTTAGATATATATTTATATTTATATATATTTATATATAAATGTTTTGCATATTTTGAACTGAAAATATATGTTACAGACCATACACATATAAAATGTGAAGCACTTAAAAATGTGATTAAAATGTCTAAATGATTCAACAGGGGAAAGAAACAGAACCAATTCTGATTATATGATATTACAAAAAAGAGACAGTAATAAGTGATAGAAGCTACATAAAAATAAACTTTAACTGTATGCATTTTCCTCAGTTTTTTAAAAAACTGTTAAATGCACCAGTAATAAATAAAATCTGCATGTTTCCTCATCAACAATTCCTAGTGTCCAGCCTTACTGTAAACAGTACACGTATGTAAAATGCATCTTAACAAAATAAAAAGAGAAAGAGGAGAAGACTCAGTTATGGGTTCAGTTGCCCAAACTGATTTCCTAATATCCAAAAACATAGATCGAAGTGTACAAAGCCAATCCTACTCTTGGCAAGTCAGTTCCTTAAAATTAAACTGTAACAGTGCAAGGAAGGAATGCAAGGAATCCCTTAGTGCAACAAAGAAGAGACACGCAGGCAAAGTTGTGGATTGTAATTGTCCAGTCCCATGGGTCAATGTTGGGAGCATCAAACAGACAAATTAACTCTGTTTCTTTTTCTGAATTAAAAAATATATATTAAAAGCCATGGTTGTAATGCCCCGATTTTGTCTTAGGGCTCCTTTGTCGTCTTCTTCTTCCATAGGCCACCAGAGATTCAGCTTGAAGTCTTTAATGATTGGCCATTTGCAAAAATGCCATGGCAGGTGCTAATTAAGATTCACATGGCTCTGTTTCCTCTCAAATGGCTGGTTTGGGTATACAACTGTGCCGATGCCTGAAGCCACTTGGAATCAAATCCCAGCAAGTTGTATGTCCTTCTTTGTGTCTGCCAGCATTGTGGCTTTTAAAAAAATCAACAGTCAGATTTGAGCTTGTCCAAGGAATTGTCAATTTTGGTCAACGTCTTTTTGATACGCAAAGCTGTTAATCTTGCCGATGGATTGTGGTACCAGCATTCTTTCATGAGCTTAGCGAGTGAAGTTAATGTCTGAAAAGGTAAGCACAGAAATATATATTCAGAGTAGAATATTTTAATGGCACTACTCCATCCCACATTGATTATCACTGCTCTGTTTGCAGCATGGAAAATAATTGCTGACCAAACAATATACAGAAAAGCAGTGGCCTCAAACCACAGTTTGAGGCTTAACCTATTGTTTGTATGTTTAGTAATCATTTCTATAAACAAAGGTCTGATCCACACTGGGACATGTAACCAATTTCGACACTGAAGCTAATTCATACACACACATGATCAGTGGTGGCTCATGGCTGTTTCTAATTCCTCGTGTGTCTAATCACGCTTGGTCAATTCAATTCGTTTCATTTAGTACACCCCCATCCCAATATAAGACATGATGAAAATATAAAATGGAAAAATATTAAAAAGCAGTTTTTCCTCAAGTTCATATTGAACTGGAAAGTACATTCAGGAAGATCAAGAGTGCTCAAGAAAACGAAGTGGCCTGTTTGTCGTATGGAAAAATAATTCAAATCTGTTGAGAACTTTACAAGTGACCTTTTGGTTCATCCTAAAAGCTTGTTTCTTTCTCTCTCTCTCTCTCTCTCTCTTTTTTTTTTTTTGGTCTTCCGCATTTTCTATCTACAGTACTCATGAATAACTTTTTTAATTTAAAAAGTTGCTTCAATACTTAAAGCAAAGAAGCAATAATGGAGCCTTCAGCTATCCCTGAGTATCCAAGGCCTCTCCAAAGAGCTTCTAAAAGCATTTGTCTTAATGCTATGGGGAAGGAGAAAAGAGATCACTGGTAGGAAGAGAAGATGCAAAATAGGGGAAGAGTTGCACACAGATACACAGAAGCCAGAAGGTCATATAATTGAACAGTCCTTAATTGCTGTAAAGCATACTTCCTTTAGTTCTGTGGCCCCAGGATAACTGGTGGTTGGAGCAAAAAGTTCAAGGTTTTTATAACAGCTTTATCTTTGGTTGAGAAATTGAGTCCAGGATGGTTTTCACCTGATCAAGATCTTCTTCCTGTCTCCTTTTGCCCAATGGATTATGCCTTCGTTTGCCTCTGCAGGGCCACTCAATTGAGAGGCCCCCTCCCTGACCTTAGATAGGTATATTCCATTTCCGCTCTAGAATTTATAAATATTTATGGTAAAACTATTATGCAGACCTAGGCTGTGATAGGCTATAGGTCTCTGCCAATTGTATCGAGAGCTTGGTAATGATATTTTATATTGGGAGTAGCAACAATGTAAGTTTTTAAAAAAAAATCAGATTTTTTTTTGAACCCCTAAAAGCTTTTTTCAATTTTTCTTAAAGATGATTTAGCTTGCAAATTTTTCTCTTCTAGCACTTAATCGTGACTAGAACAGTTGTTTCTACAATGATTTTTCATATGGATCCTTTTTTGCCAATTTCAATATAAACAGACTGGCAAGTACCAGAAGTGAGAGCTGCAGCCAATACTTCCCCACGTTCTTTGCACTTTCACCCAAATCCCTCATATTCCAGATAGCCTCTAGATCAAGTAAAAGTACTACAGGTGAATAGATTTCAGGGGTGAGAGGTTCAGCTCCTTTTGCCCACATGCCTGATTTATTGTAAAAATATGGTCACCTCCTGCTGTATTATGAATGGGGAAGATGGATGATTAAACAAATGTAATTACTGCTGCCACATCTAGTTTGGCCTATAGCCTAAACAGCAGATGGTTTTAACAATTCTTAACAGATGATCGAGTAGAAAATATATCAACCCATTTCAGCAAGTGCACTTACAGGGTCTGAAAACCATCTGTTGGGAATATTTGGCCTCTGCTGATCCACACAAACTACTTTTCTCATGTCTTCAAAACTAGGATCATTAGGAACGACATCGTAAAATGGAGGTTTGTAGTCTTCCACTATACCTGTGACCGAAAACACAAGGGATATGTTATATTGCACCAATATAGATTTAAGACGTCCATTAGCAACACAAAGTTCACATACTGTTACCAAGGGATTAAACTTTGCCAATTGGAAGCTTTTGTGACATCTCACTGATATTGTGAAATGAAACCCTAAGAGCACAATACAACCAAAGCATTTAAATCAACTTGGTCTCCCAGTGGACTAGAGAAAAGTTTGACTCTGTAAACATGTGCATGCACAGAACACAAATCATGCATATGGCAAAGCAGCAAAACTATTAACAGATTTGGAAAGAAGGGAAAACTTGACATTTCTTTATACTTTCACATATTTGGCATTAACTATCTAGACCCAAATTAGCTAGCATAGGATTCAGAAGATGCTGAATGGGTGGGGCAGTAATTTTATAAGAAAAGGATGAAGTCAGTGTAAGATTAATTGTGCTCTTCCCCAAAAGAACAAGTCTGAAGTCCAGAATAAGTTGATCACAACTGCCTATAAACAAAGCAGTTATTTTACTGGCTACTACTGGGTGACGCATCATCAAGGCCCTTGGATAATTCTGGTGTTGCTTCTTGGTGGAATGGCAATAACCCAAAAATACAAGTCCCTGACTTGGGGGGGGGGGTGTCCTCTGCACTTATGGCTACTGACGGATAGCAGGGGCAGATGGTAGCCATGAGGATTTTTGCCCACCTTTGGGGTCTTCCTTGAAACGAGAGGACCTCACCCGAATCACCCCTTGCTTAGATTACTTCAAGGTACCCTAAGTAGGTCTGCCTTTGAAGATGACTTTGAAGCTGAAGTTGAAGTCCCCTATTCAGCACTACTGTTCTTGGTTCATGTACGTCAGTATAAGCTGTACTGGCACTGATTGGTTTTTGGGTACAATTCAAAACAACAGTTTTAACTTATAAAACCTTTTATGGCTTGGCACCAAGATACTTTGCAAGACCATCTTTTCCAGCCAAATTCAATCTGCGTGAATTTTCCCACCTGGGAGAAACTACTGGTTCTCTATTTCTCAAGAAAGAGGAGGGGTGGCCCTGGATCTCACAGGCATGGCTTCTTAAGTGTGCTTGCATTATGAAATAGTCACCCTCTGGAATCTGACTAGCTCCCACACTGGCTTTTCTATACGTTTTTTTTTTTTAAACAACAACAACAGAACTGTTATGAAGAGTCTAAGAGGATGAAGGGGATGTCATCAATATTGCTGATGGGAGTTCTTGTACTGCTGCTATTTTATTTTTATGATTTATCTGTTTTAAATTTTATTGCACTGCTCCCTTTATGGCTAAAGTTAACTGTTGAGAAGCAGTGGTGGGCTCCCAATTTTTTGACAACCAGTTGTTTGCCCTAATGACTGGCTGGGGGAGGGGCTGGCTGGGGTGGTGGTCATGTGACTGAGTGGGCGTGCCCAACTCTACGTCAGTTGTGTGGATGGTACCTGTATGGGACAGCGGAGGGAATCCAGGGGCCTCCAGTTGGGGGGTGGGGGAAGAAAGATCCAACTTGTTTGAGTGTGTGTGACACATATACGTGCGTGTGTATGACAGAGAGACTGTGAAAGCTGGCTGGGTTTTGGGCTTTTTGGGGGGCTGTTTTCAGACCAATTTTGGCCAGAAAAACAGCCTGAAAACGGCCCAAAAATAGCTTACCCATCTTCTCTTCCTCTTGCAGACAGCTTTCCAAGTCTAGCTTGACTCAGTCAGTCAGTCAGTCAGTCTCTCTCTCTCTCTCTCTCTCTCTCTCTCTCTCTCTCTCTCTCTCTCTCTCTCTCTCTCTCTCT